TATATTTAATTATTTTAAATTTCATTATTTCATTGTGAAATGAAATTTCATTATTTTATTGTCAAATTGAGTTTAGAAGTTTTCTCATGGAGAGTCTTAGAGATTGAACTTCTAATACTCTGATACTGGACTGTCACAATGATATCAGAAAAGTATTTTGGTAAGTTCCGTCTGAGAAAGACTAAGGCCCAGCCTATGTATTTTGGATGTAATTTGTTTTTCAGTGATGTCTCCAAGATTAATGATGGAATAGGTGACAAAATTGGAATGCTTGTTCAAGCACTAACAACATTTATAACAGGATTTATTGTTGGTCTCATAAGAGGATGGAAATTAACTCTTGTAATACTAGCAGTCAGTCCTGTCTTGGGACTTTCAGCAGCCATTTGGGCAAAGGTAGGTTAACAAACATTCAATGTCAGCTTTTATATTAAAGAAACATAGTGAAATAAATCTATAAATGTATTGCTTAGGACAGTTACAGTTTTATAGACAACATCTGTGTACATAAGACCTTAGATGCCCTCATGTAGTTCGAATATTGTACTTCCTGTAGACTGGACAGACTTGTTTGATTTGAAGCTGTTTCTGCTTTTATGGTGTGTTTTTATATAGAAAATAGAGCAAGATATGCAAGTAAAATCCACATCTGTAACTGTTAAACTTCATCCACATGAGTGCTTGTTCTGTTGAAAGGAGTAATTGCACCAGTAAGTTAATAAATTAGACGAAACTTTGGTCTCAGGCATAGTTTGTTTTCAAAGTTATAACAGCTTTGGTAAGAAACTTCAGACTTAGGTGAGAGAAGTCCTAAATTACCATGGGTTTGGAGTGACTTGCATTTGTAGTTTGGAAGCCTTCAGATTTTTATAGTATTTTATTTTGAAGGTCATCATAAAGTCTTCTCTGTCTTGAGTGAGTATATCATAGAAAAAGTAAGAGGAGAGAAGCATGTGCTACATGTGTCTACTGGCTAAGAGTCTTCATGGACAGTGGCCAGCTAGTGTAAACTATAGAGCCCTCTGGCTAAGGTAGCCAGGGATGAGGACATCTACTTGGGAAGAACCACACCAGCTTAGTAGGAGTAGTCATCTAATCTCCTGCACTGGACAAAAACAGAGTGGAAAAATCTATTCATTAGTTGTTAAGAATGAGTAATGTTGAATTATTTGATATTGAATATTCTGCACTTATACATAATAAAATCAAAAGGCTTCACATGGGAAGAAAGTAACTGTGATAAAAGCCATTATGAAGTCCTTGAGCTCATTCTGTTTTTCTTAAGTCAAAATATTTGATCCTGTATTAGGTTCTCTCTGCTTTCACTGACAAAGAACAAGCTGCATATGCAAAAGCAGGTGCTGTTGCAGAGGAAGTTCTGGCAGCAATCCGTACTGTAATAGCTTTCGGAGGACAGGAAAAGGAAATTAAAAGGTAAGAACAATATTTGCTTTCATCATCTGATTTTAAAGTATTCACTTCAGATGGCTTGACATTTTCTTGTATCTTTGCTGTTGAAAATCTGTCAAAACAAGGAAGCCTTTTGCTTCCTGTGGTTTTAGGTAATGGGAAATTGTCCGTTACAGGCTATTATAAGTTTCACTACATGGTGAAAGATGACTAGTCACCTTTCTAGAAAATGTCAAAATCGATTGATATATTGTCTCTACTCTGGAAATATACAGACTACTTTAAACATCACACTGTGAGAGGTTTAGACAAAAAAAAAAATAAAAAAAAAATGGCCCTGCCATGAGAAGAGATGATGGTACCCTTGGTAATACAATTACTCAGTAGTTGTTGTGAAGGTACTAATACGCAATGTCTCTGTTTCCACTGTACTATAAAAAATCATTCCTGTGGTATATTTTAACCTTTCATCTTAAGCTAACAATTATAATCTCAAAACCTGTCATGAAGGGTTCATGATCAAAGTTCACTGACCTGCAGTTTATTTAAGGAACTTGAATGCCAGTTCCTGAACTGCAGTGCCCTTTTTTCTGTATACCAGGTTGACTGATGTTAGCCTTTTTAGGCCACAGTGAAAAGACTGTGCCTGATTACCTTTGCTCTTATTTTATACATCTTCTTGTACTTTGTGAGTGTTCTTTTTCTAATGAATCCACAGAGGTTTTGGTGCTGTGTGCCGTGGTACAAGTCTGAGTCTATTTTGAACTTCTATCTTTCTTCCAGATACCATAAAAATTTAGAAGATGCTAAACGGATTGGAATAAAAAAGGCTATTACAGCTAATATTTCTATGGGTGCTGCTTTCTTACTGATATATTCGTCATATGCTCTGGCCTTCTGGTATGGAACTACCTTGGTCTTATCTGATGATTACACTATTGGTAAAGTTCTTACAGTAAGTATTAATGAGTAAATACCCAGTAATAGTGAGGAATACTAAAGAAAATACATTAAAGGTTATATTGGGAACTTATTTGAGTTTAATATTAATTATGCTCCAAAATCAGCAAAATAGCATCCATTCTTCTAAACAAAAATATTCTCATCACGAGTCTACATATTGTTTCTATAGTATCTCAAAATCTTCATCAAGACAAGTGAAGCATATATTATAATCTTTTCTCAATTCCGTAAGATCAGATTGATACAGAAACAGTTCAATCAAAACCTGAAGTACAGTACCCTTCCTAGTTGCTGTTTGTTTTCGGATTTGTGGGGCAGAATGTATTTTCAGGATGCAGAAGATCATCCTGGGGTTCTTTTAGCTGTCGTGTGGTCTAAGTAGGTAATTTTATTGATACTTTTCTTATATTTTGCACCATAAGAGCTTGGAATCACTTCTCAGTATTATTTAGAAATTGAGGGGGGAGAAAAATACACATGTGACTGGGAAATATGTCACCGTCTAACAAAAGGAAGAAAACCATATCTCATAAGTCATAACTTAAATTCTTCTCTTGATGGCAACAATTCCAATTTTGTATGAGTTATCAAACAAATATGGTAAGAAGAATAACTTTGCTAATCATGATGAAGCTTAGCCAGGAGTCCTGATATGTATGTATATATCTATATCTTTTTTTAAACTACCTGATTTGTTTAACTTATGAATCACTGAAATTTGTGAAAAATAGCTCTGGTATGGGTTATTGGCTCTTTTGAACCTGCCTATTTCATTTTTTTAAAGACAGGCTGGCACACAGAACATCTCACTGAGGTTCATGCCCTTGTGTGTAATTTTTTCAGTTCTTATTATTTGTAATTTCTGTTGCCTGTGTTGTAGTTCGTTGGAATGGTGTTTTTATAACATGAATGGGAGGGTGTAACCTTATTAATATTTGCATCTGTGAATGACCACTGTTGAAGAAAAGATGATGGGTGTGATGGACCTTTGCTCTGACATACTATGGCTGTTATTATGATCTCCAAGCAGTGTGTTTTTATTACTTTTGGTTTTATAGTAGTTGAAAGCAATAAACTGTGCTTCGCTGACAAAGCTTTTTTTTTGTTGTTGTTGTTTTATTTTTTTTTCTTGTTTGCTTGCACTCACTCTCTTTCATTCCAGCAGAAAGACCCTTTATTACTTTGTGATTAAGAAATTGGATTTGTGTACTTTTATTTCACTGTCACTTTGAAAGCAGAATGATAGTGCTTTGCATCTTGTCTTTGTTCCGTTGGAAGATATACAATATACTTTCTGGGCTTTGGAACATCTTTTTGCCAAAGAGTGAACCAGTACAATCAATCCTGAGGCATCAAGTGTGATTATACATTTTTTGGCATAGAATTTGCAAATCTCAGGCACTTTTTCACTTTTATCAATGTTTGCAACATTCACATTGTCCAGGAACTCACTTCTCAGCTGAATCTTAAAAAGTCTTTTTCTTAGAGTTGTTCTTTGCTTAAGAGAGACCCTTTCATTTTTTTCTTTAATTCTAGATTCCTTAAACTTCTCTCAACAGACATGGAGCCTCCTGACCCTAAGATATCTAATGTAAATAAATAAATGTAACTCTGTGCTTAAATAAATATTTAAATATGTCACCATAAACATCTCTTTCAGGTCTTTTTCTCTGTATTGATCGGAGCTTTCAGCATTGGACAGACTGCTCCAAGCATAGAGGCATTTGCTAGTGCAAGAGGAGCTGCCTATGCAATCTTTAATATCATAGACAATGTGAGTATCTTTGCCCGTACTCTAATTTCAAAACTGAGATGCCATTCTTTTTAAAGTACAGGCACTATTCATGGATATGAAATCAGTAAAATAAGTGTGTAAAATAAGCAGAATTATAAACATAAAAGCAGATAGACTATATAATTATTAGTCAGTTCCTCTTTGTCTTCTAGAGTTATTAGTCCTTACTTCAAAGGTGAAAGTGGGTCTCTGAATCAGTTAATGTTGAAGGTATCCTCTAACGTTTTATCATGAAAGGCACATCTATGGTGCAATACAGAGATGTGATTACAACTGGTGTAGGTATATGAGCATAGGTTTCAAAGTATCATTGTCACCACCAGTAGTGTGAGTGTTGGCAAATCAATAAAACCCAACCTGGTAACCTGGATGTGTGCTTCAATTGCCAAGAGAGTCTGAAGTCAGGGAAGCTGAGATTTTACTAACTAATGAAGCTCTATGAAATGCAATTGCGTATTTTGGGTTAAGACATGCTTCAACTTCTAAACCCATCCTGGATGCAAACAAAAGCAGGCATAATTAAGAACTCCCTTTCTGCTTAATGGTCAGTGGACTGGTTCTTTCTCACACATATTGTTTCAGCAAAAAGGGCAAAGGCATAAATGAACAGTGTATGAATGCTCATTTGAATGACCTGTTCAGCTTAATCATCAGGCAGTGAAATAAATTATGGCAAGCTGTGGTAGAGTCTTAAAGACAATGTACTAAATCACACACAAGCTTAAATGGAGAAGTTACAAAAGTATTCTTGCATTAGTAGTAATGTAGTAGTAATGTAGTAATGAGGCAGCAAAACATCTCAGAATTCTCACCTTAATTACTGTAAAATTACATTTAATATCTCTGCGGAATAATGGTGCACTCTAGGACTGCTTTATGAAAGAAATCCTCAGGAAATAAGTTTGGTTGGGGTTTTTTGTTTGTTTTGGTTGGTTGGTTGGGTTTTTTTGTTTGTTTGTTTGGAGGGGTTTTAATTTTTATTTTATTTTGCACAGGAGCCTCAAATTGACAGTTATTCAGAGGCAGGTTACAAACCAGACCACATTCAAGGGAACTTGGAATTCCAAAATGTTTACTTCAATTATCCATCCAGGCCAGATGTTGAGGTATTGTAAACGAAACTTTATACATACTATGGTTAAACATGTGGATCATTTGTTAGAAAAAAAAGTCCCATAAGTAAAATTCTGTTAGAAATACAACTATTCCAATTTAATTTTCTAACTTATAAGAAACTACTTTGCCATCACAGGAATTTTATTTAGTTGTTTACACCTTAGCTAAACACGTTCTAAACATGTTAAGTTTTTTGAATAATTTTCTGCCTAAAACTATAGTCAGTGTGGCTATGCAGTAAAACTTAAAGAAAGAAAATTTATGCATCTAACCCAAGTGGTTGTGTATAGTAATAACAATAATGACACATTGGGTTTCAGAGGTACCTGCAATGCAGCTCTGTTAAGACTATATCTCAATCAGTTAAAGAAAGCAGACCCAGCAAGCACTTGTTGGATATAGAATAGAGATCAGAATGTGTATTTGGTTTTGTAGACAAAGTTTGCTTTAAAAAGCACTGTCATAAATCCAAAATCTTAATGCAGTGGAGGTAGAAGACATTTGAATGATTCATGAAAATATTTTCATGAAGAGTCTTTGCACTATGTAACTGTTTTCTTCCCTACATTGAAGGAAAATCACTTACCTGGATAAAAGGGTCTTACTTACTTTTGATAGGCAGAAAGACACAGAGCTTTCTTTTTAAAGCCATTTTTACTCATAAATGTGTTAAATATTTTGGGTTTTCCTTCTATCACGAAAGTAAATTAAGTCAATGTGCTTGATTTGTCTTTATATAGAAATATAAATGAAAAGACAATTATTGATCTCAGTGGATTATTTTATAAGCTTAAACAGGTATGATATGAATAGAGATTTCTCCTCCATGGATTCAGAGATAATAATTATAGGAAGCTAAGGCTACACCAAACATTAAGTAATAATTTCATAAATTATAGTAATAATAATTTCATAAATTATAGTAAAGAGAATAATTATAGTAAGATCAGACATACTAAATGTTAGAATTTACCTATGCCTCTTGCTGCTAAACAGTGAGATATATTTCACTTGTAAAGCACACAGACAGTGATACTAAGGGTGAAGAGGCAGCAGTAGTACTGAGGGTAGAAATTTAGGAAGAAAGAGATGATGACAAGGACACAGGGCTTCAAGGTATTGGGAAGTACATTGTGAGAGTATTGGAATGTATTGGTGCATGGCTGTCCATTAAGTATGGAAAACTGCACTTAGCCATGATGCATATTGCTGATATTCAGGTGTGCATAGTTCATTGTAGCCTAGTCTTTCTAGAAGGCTAATTAGCAAAAAAACCCGTGCTTTTCTCCATTTCAATATGTATTTCCAACCACAGAAGTAGTACAAAGTAGTGACAGCCATACAAACACTCATACACCTTTTGTAGTGTAAAGTAGAAACAAAACCACTTTATTCCTTTTTTCCTATTATTATATCTTCTTAGTACTCAGGTGAGCAGATTAAGCAGAAAGGTAGGTAAAATTAAGCATACATGGCATGGACATGCTAACTTGCTAACATGTGTTCTCCAGCTCCACTACTCAGCTCAATACAGGTTATATTCTTGAAAATGAAAGAGCACCAAAGAGCTACCTATACCCTTGTAAGAGTCCCAAGGAAGGCAAAACTCTGTATACGCCATGACTGTGAAATGCTATCTTTTATGCTGACTAGTACAAAAATATTATATGTTGTGAAATGAAATGTCACTGTTGTAAAGAAGCCCCACCAGCAACTGCAGTCGATGACTTTTCCTCCAAAACAATGCAGAGTATATTCTGTCACTTTTAACCATGATTTCTACCGTACAACAGTTTTCCTGTAGTTTGCATGGTGCATTAAAGGAAGAAGTGAGGCAACATAATACAGAAATATGGCATCATATTGTTTCTATATTATATTTTAGTTATGGGTAGTTATCATATTATTATTATTTTGTCATACAAACTGGTCCATAATATGGATAATGATGAAATGTATTGTATAATACATTGGTATAAGATTGATTGTGATGTAAATATGAGGAAAATTAAGCTGAAGTCATTAGTTATCCAAACTTGAATGTTTTTTTTTGTATCAGATTCTGCTATAAATATGAAGGATATTTTATTGGAGTCTTTAAAGTTTCTTCAAATTTACACTGACATTTTTACATACTGTTTTGGTTTTGGTCACCTTTCTTACATATGCAGATACTGAAGGGCTTGAATCTCCAGGTTAGTTGCGGCCAGACAGTGGCCCTGGTTGGTGGCAGCGGCTGTGGGAAAAGTACAACTGTTCAGCTCATCCAGAGATTTTATGACCCTAAGGAAGGCAGGGTAAGATACCTCTAGGATATGACTCTGTGTGTCACAGCTGTTGGAAGTCTAGCTTTCACTAGGCCTCACTGCCTTTGTTCTAGTGACACAGTGAAGTCTCCCCTAAAAAGGCATGTGATGAGCTGGGGAGAGAGGTTCCTTGACCAAAACACTCACTGAAGGATTTTTGTCTGCTTCCTTTTGTTTAGGTTACCATTGATGGGCAGGATATTAGGTGCATAAATGTAAGATACCTACGGGAGATTATTGGTGTGGTGAATCAGGAGCCTGTGCTATTTGCTACTACTATTGCAGAAAATATTCGTTATGGCCGTGAGGATGTCACCATGGAAGAGATTGAAAAAGCTACCAAAGAAGCAAATGCTTATGACTTCATCATGAAGCTACCCAGCGTAAGCAAAGCAGCTGTCCTG